CATTCACACTATAGCTGATTAATCATAAAATTGATCCTTGACCAAATTATGCCATAGACAGTAACACCTAGGACTAAATTAACACATGACCTAGACTGGACTTAGCAAATTCTAAACGAAACTAGAAAAATGTTTTCACTATATTAAATACATACTATAGGAGAGAGATATGTGGTATCTGCATATCAAATAGTAAGATTGTTATATATTAACAGTAGAACATTGGAATTTGTTTACCTTAATTTAAAATATTATTGGTAGTGATAGTTATTATTGTCTATATGTTAGTATTTAAGCTAGATTTCTGTCCTTGTCTCTTCACTTTACCACAAAAACGTTCTGATTCATCCACCCAAATCTCATGAGTTTGACTTATTACAAAATTTTCAATGCCAAACTTTCTTACTTATACTAGTCTTCTGAGAATCACATTACGTTAATATGTATTTTATTACACTGTTATATATTTGTGAAAGAAAAAATCCAATTGTATTCTTACAAACTGTGAAATATTCCTGAATAATTCATCATGTTAGTTAACTCATCAATACCATGAATAAGTGTTCAGTTCATTATTGTAACCCTTAAATACAGAATAATTCTGTTTAAACCTACTTTTCACAATAAATACAATGTTGGAAACTAATCTTCACACTACTTTAAACATGCTACTTAAAGCTATTTTTTTTTCGCTCATTATGTTTGAAGTATTTGATTTATAATCAGGTATTGAGTTTCTAATTAAATGTGATATGAAGATGAGCATGTCATAGTAGTAAGCTTTGACACCTTGTCCATGACATCTGTGATATAAAACTTTGGTCTCTTTGGAATCTAACACTTTGTCCATCAAATTCATGATTCAAAAGATTTAGTTTGTTAGGATTTACCAACAAGAAGTAAAGGTCTGTAAATTGGATGGTAATAAATGGTATTATTCATGGTAGTCTTGAATAATCAAGAGGTGAATATTACTCCTGGAGTAATGACGAGTACTCTACACTAGGGATGGAAAAGTGTGAAGCAGAAGAAGCCGGCCTTGAAATAAGTGAATTACCAGTAAAATTGGTTTGCTGCCACATTAGATGAATATAAAAAGTTTCTTGCATTGCTTGCCAATGAATATCAAGACATACACTGAAAATTACCCTTTTGAGTTTATATTTAAAAAATCACAAGACGAAAAACTGTCTGTGATCAAGTGATATGTTACAATAGATAAATGAAGATAAGAACAAATTGACTTGCATACAAACACAAGGTTTGACAACTGGTATATATATATATTACTACAGAAATAAAGCATGACAAAAAAGTATTATGTGAACCTTCTCAAGCAACAATTATGACAATAAAATATGAAGAAGCTCAGTAGCAATAATTCATAATAGAATAATCACAAAGTAAGTAGTTTTGTTCTGAGTTTACTTACTGATGAAGTGTTATTTTATTACAAATAGTCACAAAATAAAGTTGTTGTAACCACAGCTAATGATAAAGAATATCATAGAATATAACAATTCAAAACCATAATAACAATTTACAACAGACAAAATTTTGAGTGAAATTGCCTTAATAAGAGTTTTTGCTAAGAGAGAGAGTACGATGTAACAGTTTAATGGTATAATTTAAAAGCAGAACTGCATATACAACACAATAGTAGTAACTTTGGATAAATGTATAACTGCAGCTCAAAACCAACTCTACACGAAGTAAACAAATCTTCACAAAAGAACATGGTGGTTGCCAAAGTAGTAACTAAGACTTACAGATTTTTAAGATGCAGCAGCTTACTCACCAGTAGTAGAATTGCAGGTCTGAATCCTGATTCCAGACTTAATTTTCATGTACCCAATTCTACATGTATTAAACGATTGATCAAGTCCCATGATTTTGTCACAAAACAGATCTTTGGTATATTACTAGCATACTGTGGTTTACTATACACATTTTTATCTTTATGACACAGTGATTTAACTATTGACCATTGTATACTTGTAAGTGGTCAAGTGGACAATATGATAACTGGACTACAAGTTGTATATTGCAGTGATTCTTCTAATGCGTTAAATGCTCATGGTGAAGTAGGTCACATGCCTACTAAAGCTTGTAGTTCATCCAAGTAAATCTCAACTTATGACATTTACTTATATGTAAAACTGTTCCTTTTGATTTTTTTCCAAGAGAGACTGATAGAAAGTTAATGAAACTACAATGACTCAGTGTTCAATATATGTAACTTTCAGAAAAACAAAAAAGCCATCTCCCACTTTCTCCATCTGCCTGAAAGCACAACAAAAGTTGAGGTAGTTCCATGCCCACCCATGTTTGAGGAGCCATGTCTCTTAAAATTTCAATGTTATAAGAATATAGTGTCAAAAACTGGTGATAAAAAGCAAAGAAATACATTGATGATTAGATACAGTGTCAAGTTTCAAAAGCTACTGAGAGCATATGCTTGTTTCAAAGTGTAGTATTATTTCACAATTATAATTTATGATCCTTTTTTTTATGAAGGTGTAAATTTGTTAGTGCTTCAGGTATAAATATAAAACTTTGGATAACTGATCCTCTTACTAGGATCTAACAGCCCACAAAATTTCAGTAAGATCAGAGAGAGATAGAGAGAGAAGGTTAAGTTTGGGCACTAGTTGAGTTGACACAGAATGATTCACGAATATAGTTATTTAATATGCCATTTAAAATTCCAAGTAAACATTTTTCAGTGGGTACTTTTATCTAGTATATTATAGTTTAGATGTCCTAACAAAGTTACGTACAAAATGTATATATGATAATCAGTCATTAATATTTTTAGTTAAGATACTAAGAAATCTTTACATGTTTAGTGTAGCCATGTAGATATCTAATATTTGTATGTTCCATCTAAAATCTCCTAAGTATAGTTTAAGAGAAATTTTAACTAGAAAATGTAGTTAATTTAAGAAAGTATAACAATTTTCATTAACTAGTTAAAAATAAATTAAGGAAGAAAAATTTTCAAAATGCTAATACAAATCTTGATCAAGTATGCCTTCATTGGTTTGTGTTAATAGTTTGACAGATTGTTTCCAAATAATACAGTTCTAAGTAAACATAAAACCACTGTCTAAGAACAATTCCCTTTCTAAAAATGTCAACAACTGTCTTTACATGATTAGCGTGAGCTGTGGCAAACATGGCTGTTATACTGTAAATACAATGGTGATTTCAGCAATTTTAAAATATTTCTCTGTAAAAAGCTATTTGTAGGACTATCCATAAGTTAGAGAATGGAACATATTTATCTGACTCGTGTACTTTAGGTACTTGCAACTATGTTTCTGTAACAGACTACAGTCAACAGCTAAGTGTCCTTTTGAATATAAAATATGGCTTCCTTCATGTCTGAGTAAATAAAAGAACCAAATCTTCCATTTTTTGTATTATAATTTACTTTTCAAAGAATTATTTATTTATAAACCATATGAGTAAAAGGTATATGAATCTTAGATTTCTAACAAGTAATCACACATTGTATTTTCTCTAAAATTCAAAGTTAAAATTATTTTTCTTTAATTTAAATATTCTTTTAAAAGAAATTTTATATTATAATAAATATGTGAATATTATTATTTTTCTACACCTCATGTACTTTAAATTTCCTAGAATGGAAGTAAACTATGATATTTCTTCTCATAAACTGAAATTTTTAGAAGCTATCCTAACATACAATGTTCAAATTCATTCATTATCTCAAAAAGCCAAGGCTAAAGACAACAACTGATATGAAGAAATACTAAGAGAAACACCATTCTGAAATTACACTTGTAATGGTGCTTGAAAAAAAAGTAGGAGATGGAAATAAAAACTAAAGATAAAATCCATGACAGACAGAAGTAAAAGAGTACAAAATCCTGTAAGTCAAACTGCAGTGTTGACTTTTTACAAGTGGGTGATAGAAACAGTGGCCAATGTTTAAGTCCTAGACAAACAGAAATAAAGGAATTTAAAACAAACAATTTTTTATATTTTAGTTCCTGGGAGGAAGTGATTGACAGAAATAAGGACTACAGACTTAAGAATAGAAGTTTGAAACAGATACATTTCTGTATGTAAATCTGTAATACTGAATAGCAATAAGTGGGTGACAGGTAGACTAAAGTCCATGAACATGTGTTTGTGTAAATATTGCCCTCTATCTCAGTTTCCATCACACACTTCTGTGTTTCAGTATATTTCAACTTAAATGACTTCTATGTTGTGTGGTTTCATTCACTTTTGTCATCTTAAAATTGAAACCTTGGTTCTTTTTTCCACCAAAGCAAGTTGCTTTCAGGCATCATTACATTTTAACTTAAAAGAATCTGTCTGATTTGAACTTCTCATCTATCTAATAAGAGCTTTGTTGTGGATTCCTACTTTATCACTCACTTTCTTTCAAATGCCTTTGACGTTTATCTTAGGAAGATGTATCTGATTTGAATTTCTTCACTTTCTTTTGTTGTGGACTTTATCTTTGGCTTCTGTTTCTATCAGTCACTTCTTTTCAGGTGCCATTACAATTAACTATACAAGAATATGTGTGTGTTTCAAACTTCTTCATTTCAGTCTAGTGTGTGTGTATATATATATATATATATATATAACATAAGAGAAAGAGCTACAAAACGAAGACGGTTCTTCACCGCAAATTGTAATTATGCATTAAAGAACAGCATAAGGGAAACAAAAGGCCTAGTTAAAGGAGAATAAACATCTTTGATTTTTAACATAAGTGACTGATGGAAACTGGAACAAAGGTTAGAATTTAGATGAAAAATGTAAAGTAAGTAAAAAACAAGCACAAATCCTGTATTGAAGGCCAAATTTAGTGACCTAGGAAAGCAATTTGTTCATGGTAGCAGAGACAAAAGTGGAAAGTGTGTTAATGGACATGGAAACAAGTGAACACTGAGTGAAGAAGCCAAATCCAATTTAAGAAATCAATAATTATATAAGAAATCCCTGTCAAACAATACTTCCTGAAAGATAGACACTGCTGTTTATTACAAAAAAACTCATATTTCTCTGATACAGTGTAATGCATAATAACTGTACAACGAATGTTTACAAAAAAAAACCCACAATCTTAACAAAACTATCAGTACCGTAAATCAAATAACACTTAATTTATATATTTATTTTAATTAAAGAAGTAAATTAGTTTAAAAGCTAACTGAGGTGAATTACCTAACTGTAATAATAACTGATATATAACCAATAACTTTGGGCATATGATGATATCCTAACATATTATTCAATGAATTATTATATTTTGAAGAAAAGTATAATTTAGTATTCAACAGACTGTAACTTTTATGGTACTTCTGTATACCACACAAAACAAAATCTACTTTTCAGTGAATCAATTTACATTATCTCTACATAAATAGAGCAAAACATGTATGAATTAAAGAAAACTAACATAATACAGTTTTACAAATCTTGAAATGCATGAAGTTTAGTTTATGATTATCGAAGAAATATACCCAACACTGTTCTTACAGATCATGTTTTAATCTAATTTGCTTTTGAAGTTGTGTAATGGTACTAAAGTGATAGAAAAATTTGCAATTTTCTTAGCCAACTGATCAACCTGCATCATTAAAGGTTTCATTTAATGTTTCTGAACTTAAACTAATGTTTTATACATTGAAACTGTAATTACACAAAAAACATAAGTATTTCACTAATATAACAGCTAATGCAAACAGTTATGACTATTAAAATGTTAGTAATTAGTGCATGACCCAAATCATTTTCAGAGTTAATTAAATCTTTTCTACAATTCAAAAATGACATTTGGAACAGAATATCTGCTCATTTGTTTGTTTTACAACAAAGCTACATTGGTCTATCTGCTATGTCCACTGTGGTGATTGATACCTCGACTTTTAGCAATGTAAGTCCATAGGCTTACCACTGTCCCACCTGGGGACCATCTGCTCCTCAATAACAATTTTGTATCATGCAAAATAAAACTACGTCTCAAAAGTATTCACTTAAATTATTCTTTGTTGTAACTATCATTTATATAAAACTTATAGCAAGCAGAACTTTTAATTATGTAAGATTAATAAACTTGAAGTTTGGTAGTGTTTACCACTGCACTGCTCTTAAATTACTTAATTGTATATAAAAAAAAAAAATATATATATATATATATATAAAATGGTCAGATTCATTCACAGCTAACTGATGACCCTTGTTGTGTATTATATACAGTTTATAATGTTTTTTTTAATTAATTCCAATCTGTAAATTATGTGTTGATTTTGAAATGGCTTTCCAACTTCTTCACTGAACAAATTTGATAAAGTTAGTGATAGTTTTTCCACTTCTTTTTATTTGCATATACTTTCTAAAGTTTATAATGAATTATATATTTACAATTAACATAAATATTGTAATTGGTTTCTTTTTTTTCTATTGGTGTATACAATGTAAAGTTTGTATTGCTCACTTCACTACTTTTTACTGTGTTAAATTCTAATGATTCCTCCATGATCATGATATATGTATTTCCCAATGACATTTAAATTTCTACATTTTGCATAACTGTATATTTGTGTGATTATTCTGATAACTTCTCAGATCACTGTGATTAAAATAAGATGATCTTGTTTTCTCTTCATATGTTCAAGTTGCATGTACTACTATTTTTCGACCCTATAATTTCCTAATTACACACAATATTACATAACTAAAAACTGAGACATGTTGTGATATTTACAAGTTATCACCCAAAACTTGGACATAAAACTTCATCGTCTTCTGTAAGACACCAAACGGAGTACAACTGGGAAACAAACTGACCAATTTCTCAACTGTGATCACTACGAGACAGCTCCTCAAGAAGTTTTAGCTGAATTGAAAAAAAAAAATTAATCAAAAAACAACAAAATACACAAATCTGTATAAGAATTTTAACCCTAGAATGCCAGCATGGAGTCACTATGACCACCTATCACCTGGTGTTAATGTTTGAAAATTTAACACTGGCATTCTAGGGTAAAAAAAAAAAAAAATTCTATAAATTAACATTTTCATTCCTAGAGTTTATTACCAACCTTCTGTGTATGCATGTACATTTTGTTAGCACACTTAGAAAACTGGCTACAGATAGTGACAGATTGCATATATTCTTATACATCATTATTATATTAAAGATACATGCAGAGATTAAATCTTGCATGGATTCAGATGAGCAAATATCAAATATAATAAATAAACATTACTCAAATGATGAAAAACTTAAAAACTATACACATTCAGAGAATAAGATTTTAAAATCTATATGATTTTTCAAAAGATTTACACTTAGAAACTAGCAGAAGGAAAAATAACTATTCTTTTTTACCCTAGATGGTGAACGTTGAAATTGTCGTAGATAATCTAAAGCCTGCAACTGATGCGAGTCCAATGTCACCTGTGATAAAACAGGCATGGAAATAAATATCCTTACATAAAATGTAGCATTACTATAAAAAAGTTTTAAGCAATAGATTCTTATAAAATCAAATTTTATTTGTAAAAAACTCTGAATATTAGAATGGGGAAACAATATAAACATAGTCATTATGAACATTCCAGAAGCTGCAGGTCAGATCTCAACTGCAAGTTGGGTGTTAGGGCAGATTTTTATTTAAACTAGTTTTAGGTAATATGTTATATGTTTATTACAAGTAATCCTGTTAGTTCTCTTCCAACAACTACTTTCCTTCCATCATAATATAACAATGTTCTAATTCAAATGGTTCACTTTAAAACTTTACACCAGCTAAGCACCACAGTACTCTACCAAGCAACGAAACTAACTCATCTAAAAATTCCCAAGTTTTTTTATCACTTATTATAAAGCTGCATCCAGTGTTCGTGCTCGTAATTTAATTTTTTGATACCTGGAAACCCAACCACTTTGAAGAAGTGTAATACCAAATGCAAAACAAAAAAAAATCAGTCTTTTAATTTTCTCATTTATTGCATGCTAACTGTATTGACATTGGAATGTTTTCTACATTGTTTTGTTTTACCCATGATGTTTTTCTTGTTTTCCCCACCACAAGGACCTCATTGTTGGGTAAGATATGATTTAGAAGGTAAATGGCATCTTATCCAAGTCAAATTGCTACATTGTAAATTCCATAAAAATGGAGTTCAACATTTCTGCCTACAACAAAGCACACAACAGTATGGTCGTTTTAGTGGTGAAATGAAGCAAAATAAGATAACATTAAAGGTTGGCAAAGGACCTTTTGGTCCACCTTGGTTGTCCTATCCACTAAATTAAACTAAATTCTTAATATAAAAAAACCACCTCAAACTCAGCCCTTATCATTCACATATTTATCAAACTTTCCCTTAAAGTCCCTTAAATTCAGTAAATCCACCACATTTGGAGGCACCTTGTTAGAAAAATAAAGCTGTTTTAGCTGAAGATAACTTCTTCCCTGCCCAAATTTATATTTGTTTCCTCTAGTCTTATAATTCTCACCATTAAATAAGAAAACAAATGATACATTAACACTAACAATTCCTTTAACAATCTTAAATACTTTTATCAGATTCCCTTTAACATTTCTTTTTTTCAAGAGAAAACAGTTTCAGAGATCTTAACCTGTTCCCATATGATAACCTTTCCATCCCAGGTATCATCCAAGTAGCTATATTTTGAACCATTTCTAACAATTCAATGCCCTTTCTGAGGTAAGGAGCCCAAGGCTGAACACAATATTCCAAATTTGGCTAAACCAATTATCTATACATTGACATTATAACCTTTATAAACTCATATTCAATAATTCTGTAGATACAACTTATAATCCTATTTGCCCTGCCACTAGCAACATCACATTGCTTGGATGGATTAAGAGATTGATCAACCAGAACACCAAAATCTTTTTCTTCTATAACACTATAAAGGTTATTACCATCAAAATAATAATTTTAATTGAAATTGTGGTATTCAAAATGTATTACCTTGCATTTATTATCATTAAAAGCCATCTGCCATTTATTCGCTCAACTCATTAAATAATACAAATCCTTTTGTAAAGCAGTACACCCTCCTCAAAGCCAGCTACACCCATGACCTTAACATCAGCAGCAAACTTAAATAATTTATTGACCATTCTCTTATCAATGTCATTGAGGTAAATCAAAAAGAGCACAGGTCTAACACTGATCTCTAAGATATTCAACTTGTGGCATTAATCTGGTTTGACTAAACTCTATTTATAGCAGCCTGCAGCTTTCTTCTATTTAGCCAGTTTTCTATTCAATGAGCCAACCTATCCCTCACATCTACGGAGATAAGTTGTTTAACAAGCCTTTTATGTGGCATCTTGTCAAATGCTTTCTGAAAATCCAGATATACCTGTACCCTCATCTACATAAGCTGTAATCTCTTTAAAGAATGTCTAAAGATTAATAAGGCAAGATTTTCTTCTAGTGAAACCATACTGACTATCCATCAAAATTTTAAACTTTGTTAAATGACTTTGCAAAGCATCTTTCGTCAGACTTTCAAAAACTTTTCTCACCACTGATGTAAGGCTAATAGGCCTATAATTACAAAGGCAATTTGTATCACCTATCTTGAAAAGAGAAGTAACATTAGCCAAATTATAATCCTCTGGCACCTGCCCACTATTCAAAGACTCAGAATAAGTAATAGCAAGTGGCTCACATATCCAATCCTTAACCTTTTTCAAAACATTTGGGTAAATATTACTGAGCCAGGTGCTTGATCATTCTTTACACTTTTCTATTTTTTCTTAACAAGCTTAGAATTAATGTGACCATTTTGTTCAACATTGTTTCTATCTAGCAACTATTCAGGTTTAAGGAATATTGCTTAAATCTTCATTAGTAAAAGCTGAAGAAAATGTAAAACTTAATAACCCAGCCATCTCCAATTCATCAGATATTAGCCTTCTAGTATCATCCCTCAAAGACCCTACTCCCATCCTAACATTTTGCTTACTCTTAATACATTTGAAGAAATCCTTACTATTTATTTTTACATTTTGAGCCAACCTTTTTGATATATATTTTAAGATCCCACTTAACCAACTCTCTTGATATTCTATAGTACTCCACATCTCCCATCATTGCAGTGAATTTAAACTTTTATTTAAAATGCTTTTCTTCAATTTTATGCTATATATCCTTCGTTAACCAACCTGGTTTTTTTACTTGCAGACATCCTTTTTTGTCTGTACCAGCTCTTCCTTACATATTAACATAAGCCTAGTATTCAGTCCCAGTGACCTATTTATAATTTCATCCACAAAATTAAGTCTACATTCCCATTGCATTAAAATTTGTGCATTGGCACATAAAAAATCCATTAATGCATACATTGACATTTATCATGCCACATCTTAAGCTATAAATTAACATATGTCACAATCTATTTCAAAATAACAAATAATATACAACACAGTTTATCTTGATTACTTCATACATTCTCATGATGTAAAGCACAGAACATCACCTTTCTAGATATTCTAGGAGTATTGTCTTCTGCTTGATGAACAACTGAACCTGGAATGGATCGAGTTCTATGACTGATGCGACAGCCTTGCATCTTTTGTTTACGTTGATTGCCATGAATACAGAGGTAACACAGCCATTCTCCATCATTAGTTCCTCTTGTTTTAAACTGAGTACTTTCAAGACAATTGATATGATAGGAATGTCCACACCTAAAGATTCAAGGAAGTCATAAGAAATTAATTCTAGAAGACTGGTGACTACAGTCACAGCCAATTGACAAAATATAAGAAAAACAAAATGAAGACGAGAATAACTCCACATTAAGAAAAAGCCATGTGAATCAACTGACATTATAAGCATACATCTAAGACTTCAATAAAGTCCAATATTATATGCATCAGTGTTATCAAAAACTGAAACTAAACTTGTCAAAAGTCAAAGTGAAGAAAAGAACAGTATATTTAACACAATTATACAATCAACAAACACCGAAACTCAGAAAAAGACTTGTAATGTAAAGTTGTAGTCATTTTGTATAGATATTTTCAGATGATACTGTATGAGAGATAAAAGAAACAGTCACATGTTAGATATCAAAGAAACAAACACAATAACCTGATAGTATAAGCACCCATAATAACTGACAATTAAATTTGAAATATCAGGTAAAAAAAGATGAACAACTGGCACTAAACAAATATCCTCAATGTCAGATAACTTCTAGTCCAAACAGAGCATGAAATAATAATCTAAACTAGATCAAGTATTCCGTATTTATCCCTGGAAGTGCTATGAAGTCTGTATCCAATACCATATCACAATGAGAAGAATATACTAAATCATGTCTCACTATGACAGCATTAAGTTGCTCCAGTCTAAACCAGCAAAAATAAAACCAAATCCCACATGTCACAATTGAATCTAAGGTAATATAATATTACAGTACAAACCAAATGAGAAGTAGAATCATATGTATCGGAGGTGACTTTGAAGGCAATACTATTTTAGAGTTCAGACCATAGAAGAAAAAAGTTTAAACTAGATCATGAACAGCATCTGTAAATTTCAAAGTAACATGATGCTTTAATCCAAACCAGATTAAAAGGCACATTGAAAATTATTATCTAGTGTTGTACGCACTCAAATGGTTTGCTACTTGTTTATTTCACTTACACAACTAAATTAACACTGTCTGGTATCAAAATAACCCATTAATATTATAATTTATACATTGCAAAGAAAAAAAAAGGTAATAACAGTGATGTAATGTTTTGTATACCTAGAATTCAATATTAATTTCAAATAAGAATTGTCTTCAATTACCACGATAGTTTTTAAGACAAAAACTACTAGAGTTTATTCATCAATATATGTTTTCATAAATTATTCATGCAAACACATTTAAAATTTTTTTATTGTTAATTTACTAATATTATTCATAGGCTTTAACGTAACCTGTAAGAGGGATTATATAATTTTAGCAAGTCCTATATTTATTTTAATCTTTCAAAATTTACACAGATTTATTATCCACTGTATGTAAAATATTTATGTACATTTTACTTAAAACATATTTCTAAAAGCATTAGTTAACAAAGTATATATTGATTTACACATAAATACGAGTATTTTATATTTAAAAAAAAGGGTAAAAATATTTTTTTATGAATAACTGTAATGCTCGCTTCATTTTTCGTTTTCTTTTCAATTATTCTGCTTAAGTGTAAAGTTGCACAGAGTAAGCTGTTTGTGCTGTGCCCTCCTCAAAGATCGAATATGAAATTTTAACACTATAAGCTCCCTAGGATAGTGCTGAGCTATCAAGGAATCAAACTTTTCCGATGAATTTTTGATAACTTAAATTCATTTGATTTACAACATTTTTACATTCATCCGACAGTTAAATAAAAAATTATATATAATTGGTAATATATGAACAGAATAAAGTAATTTAAGTGCTTCTTTGGTGAACCTTCCTTGAACACACATTTTCTAGATATCTCACTTAATGCCTAATTTAGATGATATTTGCAATTTAAACTGTCATTTATTAAAAGCTCCAAAATTTAACCATATATTCTTGTAATAAAATTTACTATTCTAATAATTTGCAAGTAATTATACTATTTTAAACAATAATTATACAAATTATACTTATCTTTTTGAATCAAATCAATTTGTTTTTTATATATACAACTACAAGGTGATGAATAAAATGCAGTTTCCTCATATTTTATATCTTGAACATTATGAAGAAATGAAACTTTGTTTTTAAATGAAAACTTATTACACTTATCATAATACACTACTTGTAACTGTCACGTCGTGAAAAAAATTTATGACAAGAAGGTACAATAATTACAAAGGTGATATGGGTTAAAGTAAAATTCAAAAATAGTCACTACATACCTGAAAAAGACAATATCTGCAACATCTCCTGAAACAGAGTATTCTTTCAGGCAATGATTGCAGCAAGGAAAATGACAAGTAAAGGCACTTTTGGCCACTAAGCAAAGTTGAGCAAGCTGATTGTGCAAGTCACTATTCAAAAGATTAGTTGTGGTTTGAAGAAGAGTCTGGAAGTGAAAAGATCATACACTGATATTTAAATAAGCATTAAATGAAAGGTATGAAACAAAACTCTTTAAAGTATCATTCTAATGTTTTTTTCAGGTCAAATGTGTTTTGGTGCAACTCTTTCTCCATATTGATAGGCTTAAGCCTAGAATGCCAGCGTGGTGTCATTATGACTTCATACTACCTTGGTGTTAATGAATTAAAATTTAATGCTGGCATTCTAGGGTTAAAAAATATAAAATTGTACAGTGAATAAAGTAAACAGAAGTACAGAACCTAGTAACTCATATAATTGATTGAGTTTGTGATTACTTATAAACAGTACTTTTACATGACAAACCTTTTCATAGTTGTAAGTTTCCAACATTCCCATGATGAGTTCTCTCACTTCACCAAACTTAGATGTGTTGTAAGCAGGATCCTATTTAAAAACAAAGTTTGATGTTAACACATGACTATACAACCACACAACATTATTTGTCATTTGTAAGTTTATTACAGTTCACTAACTTATTATAGTTCACTTTGACACTATTGTTGTTCAAAGAGTTGATGATATAAACAGCATCTCAACTACAACAATATTTCTGTTGCATACCAGCCAGCCTGATGAGTCTTGGTATTGGATGGGAAGGCTTCATTGGCAATGGATATAGCAGACACACTGGGTTGACATATTACACATTTCTTTACTTTTACTCATAAGTTGTTTTAGTTATGACTGCTTATGTTATTTAATAAATCTGGTTATATACCTAACATTATGGATAATCAATAACTTAACTATCATAGCTGTCAATACAATCTGTGATATCTTGATTCTTTACTTAATGTTAATAATGTGTTAAGTAAACAGAGCTAGCTATACCAGGCATACGAATGGGCTACAGACAGGTATGAGGAAAATCGATTTGGGTTTAGGGCTGCTACACATCCCCAAACCCAACAAAATTTTTTCATTGAATCTACATCAAACTGATTACCGAAACTGAAAATATCAAGCATAACTTAAAAAATAACTAAATAAGTACTCTTGAAGTAATTTTCTTTGACGTCTTAATTTTTCCTGGGAATAACATGAAATATTCAGATGTTATATATAAATAAAGCTACTTGTAAACAACTAGAATACTTAATGATACAACAACCTCACCTTACCTAATTTGAGATATTACTTATGACTAAATTTAGTGTAGTGGTTTGACAAACCCAAGCAACAGTAAAATTTGTTTAAATATGGTTGTTCCATCTTTGGAAGCTGTTAGTTGACACCCTGGTTTGACAGTTCAGTGTTTTTTTACTTGGCAGCAGTAAAATCTAATTATTAAAATTAAAAGTATAGTTTTAAAATGTAACTTGGTCAGAGTTTAAAATAAGCAAGATTAATTGGGTTAATCTACTGTACATTTTTATATGTTATTTAACTCTATTGGTACAGGCTAGGTTAATTCAACCTAAAAATTGACCCCTAATTGACCTTTAGAGTTTCCATACTAAAACTTTTAATATGTTTTGTGTATCTTCATGAAATTTTGCATGCTTTCTGTAATCATTAAGAACCATCTAAATATAAAAAAATCAAAATTTTTAATGAAGTATTTTCACTAAAAATTTCTCCATGAATATATGGAGCCAGAGTGTTTACTTCTCTGAGTGGATAGCAATTTTCATATTAAGATTAAAAGTACTTTTCTTCATCTGAAAATTCTCAAATTTCATATGGATAATTTCTAAAACCTCCTAAATAAATTTCAAATGTTTTTTTTAAAGTAAAACTTTATATTTTATTTGTTATTTTCTCTAACCTAACTCTATACAAGGTTGGTAAATTTGACCAACCTTGTAACTGTCATAAAAAGATATGAAATAAATCAAATTATCCCATTTTCTTTCTAGAATGACTTCAAATTGTAACATGAAACTACATTTGTTTATTCAAAATAGCTTTAAACTCATAACAGTATATACCTGTTTCTACATAAATGTTATTGTTTTATTGCCCTTTGAACCATATCTGACTAATATTTCTGCCACACAAGTTGAAAATCACTTGGTAAACGTGTAGCTCATATTACCCTATTGAATTATGTAAGGCATGGGCTACTAGCGAGGTGCTTGCAAGTGTACCTTGTTAAACTTTTTTATTATTATTATTTTTTATTTTACCTAATCTAACCTTAATAAGTTTCTAATTGTTACATTTTAGTTACTTTTATAATAATAAATAAAGAATACACATGAAAAACAAGAAATATAGTACTTATCAGTTCTTTTTTTTTGTGTCAACTGTCGATAAAATTTAACCCTCCTTTTTAACACTAATGGTACTACTGTACTAAGTAATTTTTTATTTAATTAAATAATGCACCAAAGAATACAGAATAATAATATGCAAAAACCAGACAATGTCCTAAAACTATCACAATTCCAACCTTCTAACTATGCAATAAGAGCTGTTAAAAATTCAGCTAAGCTTGTTGATGTGTTTCCTGTGGGAATAAAGTTTGAACTGTAAGTGAAATAGACATATCTCTGTACAAAAAACAATGTAATATGTCATTTAATAGATTAAACTTTGGTTTTCTCTTGGTTATAAAAAACATAGCATTAAACATCAGAGAGAACTATTGTCAATTTCTGAAAGAGAGGATGCGAGAGGTGGGTGTGGCAAGAGGGGTCTGATTTTTTATTTTATGGTTCTGTAACCAAATGAGATTGAAGGGTATAAAAAATTATGCTTTGCCTGAGCAATGACAACATTATAATGAGTAATTTTTATTAAATTTCATACTTCTTGGATAAATAAATTAGAGAAGAGAGGATACTCAGAGAGCAAATTTCATAAGTCTCCTTCTAGGGGAAATTGGGGATTCTTTAAAAATATTGCCTTATAAAATTAAGAAATTAAAACTTATGCAATATTAAAATTGGAATGATTAGCTAAGTTTTTATGTCAAGTTATTCGTATACCATGATAAGAAAGTAGTTTAATTAAATTTTGAATTTAACTCACTAAAACCTTGTGACATACATAAAAAAGAATGACCATAGCAAGAGGGTTAAACTAACCTTTTTGGGTTCATAGAATTAAGTACATAGAATTTATTCTTTTACTAAAGTGATTTTTTATTTAAAGGGAAGAAATTTCAAAGTAACCCAGATTTTTCTTTGTACTAATTTTATATAAATGACAAGATGAAATACCTATTGTTTAAATACCAAAAGCCAGCAAACTACTGACAATTAAAAGGCCTAATTTTTTAAATAAAAATCAAGTTAAATGCAGATATGTTTATTTTCCAGACATCTCTTAACTTTTTCATTGTACTTAAATATTAAAGATGAGTAAAAGTAGCATTTAAGATCTATCTTTTATATCCCACAAGTCACTGTCCAAGAATTTTTTCATTCAATACCAGAACTCATCAGTCTGTCTAGCTGATGAAAGATAAAAAGAGGCTATAAAATAATAGCCTAAAAGCTATGGTTTAAATGCTAAAAGCTAGTGAACTGTTGGAAACCAAAAGGCCTAACTTGTAGTTAACTGAATTTCTATAAAAATTTTTTGGCCTATTAGTTTCTAATACTTTGCTGGCTTCCAATATTTAAGATATAATCAATCAAGTTTTCAAGCTCAATTCCAAACAGATTTAGTACTATTTGAGGATATACTTGACCATAAATGTTAACTTCATTATAAAACAATTCTTAGAATAAACAAGCCTTGCTTATCTCTAGTTTCAATATATATTTTTTTTTTATAAATATCTATTAATCCAAATTCTTAGTGACACTTACATAGAAAACTTTGAAAGCTTCTTTGACTAGAACATTCAGTTAAGAAAGCAAAAATAACAAAACTTTCTCTGGTAGATATTCTTCATTAATGACACAAACACAGCCTCAGAACTTCTACTTATAGAAAAACAATACATTCAGGCAGGTACTTATACTTCAAACTTAGCCCCTTCCCCCCCATTAATATTTAATACATGGAATAACCAGTTTACTCTTGAAAAATCTAGGATTGAAACTATATCACTGGTGAAAAAATACAATATTAAAAAGCTCTTCCAGGCCAACAGTTGCCCAATAAGGTTCATCAAGTACTATGGATTAATGGAAGCATCAAACTAAAAATACAGGCACAATCCTCTTTAACTATTAACCCACTTTATACATAAAAACTAATGAATAAACTTGATCGATTATGTGAAAAAATCCAAGTTCAAGTATGCTTAATAACTGATAAAATTATTAGAAGCTTACTCATGAAAGTAAACTATACATATTAAGAAAAGTATCAAATATTATCCTAAATAATCTAAATTCCTAATGGAAACTCAAGCACTTGCTATATTATATACATACATATAAAATTAAATATATGAACAAGAAGATGCCACTAGACCAAAGTTTCTGGAAAATACATATCAGTAGAACACACACACACACACAAACACACATGAATATATATAAAACAGGCAATACATCTGCTTGGGAAAAGAACAAATCTTTAGCTCTGTAAAATAGGAAGGTTTCTTTGTGAATCCCACCAGCAAAAATTAGGAGATAAAAGAAAGTTTAGAGTTTACTAAAAAAAAAACCTGACATATTCTTGATATACAAACAAAACAAAATACTATTAATTTCATAAAGTTATTACCACCAGAATGCTCATGCTATACATTATGAACTGATTAAACAAGCTACAGTTTCCAAAACAATCCAATAAAGATCACAAAGCATTTTTAAGCTCTATTAAGATTAATTCTATTTAAGATCAAATGCTAATGTAATCTACCACTTTTTTCAGAGCAATCTTAAGGCAACATGTTTTCTTTAATTAAGACATGACTTTTCACCTGTAGGATCCGCTGTAAAATTGCTGGTAATGCTATGTAGCCCATCATACTATTCAACAGATGTCGTGTAAGTTCTTTGAAGGCTGTAAAAAATAATTAATTCAAAGGAGTTTGGCAAATTAAAACATTATACTAAAGCTTCTTTTTCAAAACTTTATAACAACATTTAAACACTGTATTCAGAAGAAAATATTAAATTACCAACTTAAATTTTTTTTAAATGATCTCTTACCTTTTTTTTAAATCAACCTACTGAAAAACTCTACTGCACAAACCAAATATCATGTATCTTCCAAGTACCACCAGTTTTTAACTTTCCAAGAACTACAATAAAACACAAAAAATGTTTAAGCTCTCAATTTTTGTTTCACTAAAATTTCTACTTTAAAAACACAACTTCACAAAATTGGCTTTTCAATCTTCATCTTCCCAAGACTTTTACAAGAGAAACCAACTAAAATCACCCTTTCAATCTTCATTTTCGAAAGACTTTTACTGGAAAACCTACAACTGCAACACTTTCAATCTTCAACTCCCCATGACTTTTACAGGAGAAACCAACTACCTTCACCTTTTCAGTTCTCATCTTCCCAAAACTTCTACTGAAAAACCTACAATCATAACATTTTCTATCTTCATCTTCTCAAGACTTCTACTGGAGAAAATCTATCTTTACGCTTTTTAATCTTCATCTTCCAAAAATGTTTACCAGAAAAACTTATGACCATCGCTCTTTCAACTTTTAACTTCCCAAGAAGTCTCTTTACAAGTCCACTATCGTGTCACCTTGAGGATTATCAATTCTTATTTTACCAAAATAAATAACTACTTTATAAACCTTCTAAGACATTATCTTACAAACTCCAAATCTTCATTTTTACAGTGACTGGAATGTACAAATCCACTCACTTCTCACATTCTAATTTCCCTATAACCACTTTTGTATATATCCACTAAGATCTGAACATACAGGTTCTTTATAATTTTTTTTAAAAAACCTCTTTTTTTAAAAACTCATTTTGATCTCACCTTCCAGATTCTCCACAGTTGTCTTTCCTCGAAGCTGTCGTTGTGGTAACATCATTGTCTCCAGCAATGGAAACCAAAGTGCCTTTGAACATTAGTAAATAAAATGAGGTGTTGTAAACAGTCAGAAAAAATTAAAGCTGCAAAAGTTAATATGTTTAAAAACCTGTATAAGTCATCAGATGTATTTAGATATTTACAAAAATAAAAATAATAAAAATAAATTCAAAAAGTAACCAAAATATTTTCAATTCTATTTATACTAACTAATTTTTTTATTTGCTAAGCTTCCAGAATTTGATTAGTGATTAAATTAATGTTTTAGAAACACAAGTCAAACAAAAGTTATTCAATTAATTTAATAGTTCTTAAGTTATGAATAATTAAAGATTCAAAACCTAATGGTCCAGTGTAGCATTAAACCTTGCATTGTCTAATGTTATAGGTGTTGGGGCAAAGATACCAAAATTATTGAAGCACCAGATAATTGGCAATTTAAGTTTCTCTATCAAATCTCAGCACTTTAGTATCTATTTATTCTGTCTTAAGATAAGTGACTACAAAACACTCCTTTGCTGTTTTTTGAATTTCAAGCAAAGCTACTTGAGGACTTTCTGTGCTAGCCATTCCAAATCTGTAAGTGATAGACTACAGGGATAGGGAGCTAATCAACACCACCCACAGGCAACTCATGGGCTATTCTTTACCAATAGATAGTAGGACTGACTATCATATTATAACATACCCATGGCTAAAAGGGCGAGCATGTTTGGTGATTGGATTTGAACTCGTGACCCACAGATTGTGAGTCAACCACCCTAACCACCACTCCTTTACTGACAATCATGTTATCTGAAGTTAGGATTAATCTCTGCAACTTGAAAATATGTAGACAAAACAATAATTATTTGTTTAGGTAAATTATACTCAAATTACTTTCCTTGACATAAACAAAAATTTCTATGCTGGTTGAGTATATTTTGGCTTTAATTTCTCGCAGTTTTCTCTTTTAAGGATAAAACTTGTGTTCATACTTTTCAAGAATATCTGCAATCAGTGAACAAAAAGACAAATTTCAAATTTTATAGTTTAATCAAGTTTGTCTTAGCCATTATGACTTCAGTATATTTCTTTTTCTAGAAAAATTCCAGTTTTGGAGAGTGTCATTGACTACGTGAGTTCATGAAGTGGTTGTTTATATGCATGCAAATAATATTCAGATAACATATATATAAAATACTTCACGTTCTCTTGCTGCACAGCTCTTAATTCTGTACGTAACCTAGTGTGTATGCCATCCTGATAAAGAATTTCCAACATTAATTATAGGTAATTCTGTCAATCAGATTTCAAGAGTGCCAAAACTTGAGTGTTTTTCTTCTAATAGTCCGTATTAAAGGAGAAAGAAGATTACCTTGGATTGCATTTTAGTGTCTTAAAATCTTCATTGGCAGACATGATCTTTTAACAGGTTTTAAGACTGGTCATATTGTTTTTAAACAGTAAAAAACACCAACCTCTCTTTCTGATTGATCCATTTTACCAGAATTCCGCTGACACAACTGAATAACTAAAATGAGTTGTATTTCAAGAGCACTCCAAGCAACTGCTAAGCTACCACTTGACACTTCCTGACTGGACGTAAGTCGGGCTCTCACTTCCTGCAGCATTCCTTGTAATTTCTTCAAAACAAAATCAGATTAAGTTTCTACTCATAAACAATCCTAACAAGAGGTGTTAAAACATATTTACCTATAAATTCCATCATCTTTATCTTATGACTTCGAAATAACATAGTATAAACATATTAGAATTGACAAGTTTCAGGGAGAAACATTGAAAATTCTTTTCATTTGGGTTAAAACTGTGATAGATATAAATCATGGAAGAAGTGAAATCACAATAATCTTGAGAAGTATTAATAAGGCTAAAAATAAAACACAGTATTATGTCTCCCCAAAACAAAGAACTGTACAGAACATTTAAAAAAAATGTTTCCAAATGTTTAGGGGGAAACCTTGACACAACACTAGCCTAATCCAAACATTTAATCCAGAATACTTCTATTTAGAGAACCAAAGTGGTAATCTTCTACAAGTTTGGGTGTACAATGTATGATTGTGCAAATATAGGAAAAAAATACATCTTTCTTGCATCAGAAAGTAAGAAAAAAAAGAAGCTTAACAGATGGTTGGAGAAAAAAAAGAGACAACATATTCATCTATGTTTAGCAAGTAAAAGAAGATTCCAAGGAGGAAGATGAGCAGGGCCTTGGTTCAGACATATATAAGAAATAGGAACCAAGATTGTTTGAGCAAGTGTTAAAGAAGCTACCACAATTCTCAATCCAAAACAAATAAGATGAACGTCTTGATATAGATAAGATCAGTTATGACTAGTACTGGCAAACAAAACAAACAAGCATCCACTAAAAAAAATCAATGTATATCAGCAATCAAGAAAGGTCACAATCTCTCAATAAAAGTATGAAAAGTCATACATGAACGACTGCTAGACAAAAAAAATAAAAAATACACATACACACACAAAGAGATGAAGCCACTTCAGCAAAATTCCATGAAACAATAGAATCATGACACTGATTAATATACTTAAAAAAAACCAAGTTAAAATCAGAAATAAAAGATATGAGTTCATGGAAAAATTATGATTACAGAAATACAGAAGAAGTAATCAGAAAAAGTATGCAAAACAAGCTGTCAACTGCAAGGTTCACTTTATATGTGTTAAAACTATGCAACATTTGTACAAAAGTTGCATGTTGACTTTTCCAGAAATGGAAAAATATTCAGTTACCTCTAATCAAATGAGCACTTCAGAATGTGAAACAAACAAGAGAAAATTTCTACCAAACTTACTGACCAATGTCACTAGAACATCACTTGTAATAGGCCACAAATATTCCTAATCTTAAAGACCTGGATAAATAAGGTTAGAAGGAGCAGGAAAAGAAAACCAGAATTAATGACATAGGAAGGTGAAAACACAAAGCACAGAAAACTTTGATGACAGGATAATAAGGATTCAAAATAAAATGATATATGCTGACAACTATACTAAGATAAAAGCAACTCATCCATGAGTCCATACCAAAGCAGAAACAACCTGGTATAAGAAGGCAATAGAATAGGGAGAGAAGAAAAGAGAACTCTAAATGGAATAATGTATTTGTTCAGTAGTTCTACAGAGAAATTTGGCAAGTTAAAAGGGAAACTGACTTAAGACTCATGGAAGAGAATACCTGAAGGATAAAAAAAAAACTGAAAATGAAATCTTCACACATATATATTATGTTCACATGGGATTCTTGCAAAACAAGTCAATGTACAACAGTTTTTGTATAGCCTTATCAGCTTGAAAAACAAAGGACATTGTTTGACTAAGTTAACAAAGCTGGAGATTTTATTACAAACATTGTATTTCAGCAGATTTTATGAACAGCTATTCATTTTAAAACAAAAATTGTATTCTGATGTTAAATTATATTAAATGAAAGGAATAAATTTCATAAATTAGATATCAATTGAGGTGTTAAATTAATAAACTTCACATACATAAAAAATAATTTATCCTTTGTTTAGTTGAATCTATTCTATGCTACAGTAAAGAATGTAATTAAAGATGTACGCACTTCTAGTAAAATGTTGAAGGCCCCATGAACGTCACCTGCTTGTTCTAGAAGCATGGCAGTAGCATCCATAGCATTGTGTTTCCTACAAATCTAAAAAAAACTTGTTTTAACTTTTCAACTTGTAACTTAATTTTTCTACTCAAACTAATACAAAATGAATTTCATAAAACTTTCAAGAAATCTAATTATACTTTTATTGAATTCTAGTACATAAACATCCTGAGATTTTTAACATAAAATAAGCATTTACTACACTATACTCCATACAAACTAACTACAGTTCTTTCTTTGTTGTAAGACAAGGAAATCCACTGCATAATTTAGATAAAAGTCTAGAGACCCAGCTTTTTGAGTGATTATTATATTTGTTGAACTTTATAACAATGTTTTGGCCACTTGTGTGGTCATCATGAGGTAAACTGTAGTAACTCTTTCCTTAATGATTTGATATTTCAACTTAAAATTTTGTAGCATTCAATATACTAGCTCTATATGTCCAAGGCTGAAACAATTCAGTAGAACTACTTCTAATAATTGATTAATACACCAGCCCTGTAAAGTTTAATGTAGTGTTTCATTCTCCAGTCCTGTATAATTACCTCCAGAGTTTCTTCTAGTCTATAACCTTCAGCACTACGGATATATTTATGAACTTCATTCTTGTTAAAAACACACATCAATTCAATGTACTTTTCATGAACTTCGGGAGGTATAACTGGCTGTTCCTTTCCTGGAGTTCCTGATCTTTCACTTGTCCGTATTTCTCTAGAGATGAATATTTATAATGAGTTCAAAACTTACCTACAAAGTGTTGACTTATTGTAATTAAATTTGTTTTCTTATTATTATTCAATGATTACTATATTTTAGATCTCACGATCTAAAATATAGTAATCATTGAATATATTAAAAGTTTTATACTATAGTTTGTATATCTCTTAGTTAGGAACCTGTATATTTTATAAAATAAGAAATTTGAGGTTACTGATATTTTCAACTTGAATGGCACCTTACGCAAACATTGGCTAAATGGTCATAAATCTTGGCATTCAGGTAAGATAACCCCCAACTTTAAAACTATTGCCCAGTGAGAAGTCAGCCAGTCAGCAGCAGCTGTTGCTACAAGGGCTTTGGCTGGCTCTTTGACACGAATAATGAAATTGACTTTCACTCTGATAATGCACTCAGAGCTGAAAGTGCAGTATTCATGGGAAATGCTGCATAAACATAAGAGCTTTTGATCTTCAGCCAAGCACATTAACCACTAGACCACACTTGACTACAAGATGTAATAGTACTACAAACACACCAGTAAACATATAGAAATTTTACAAATATCACTATCATAAAAAACATTGAAATAAATGCCTATAAATTTTATGGTTTGCAAAAAAAATTAAAAAAGAGAAGTATTTGTGTAGTAAAGTACTTAATTCAAACAACATATTTGAACTAACATCTCTTAAATTCTATTTTGGTGTTCTAAGCTAGTGATATATTTTCTCTACTTTGCACTTTATTACATTAATTGATTTATTTCATGCTCAACCATTCTAATTTAACCCTTAAGTGTTTCCAATGTTCATGTTTTGTTTCTATATAAACTGTAAATTCTAAGCATAAAACATAACTTTGAGTTGCTAATTTGGTTTGAATAAGTGTACCTTTAAGAAGTTTTACAGCATGCAAATACTTTCTTACTTTATTAGAAAGTTCAACTTAATCACCTATTACAACTGAAAGTTACTGACTGTAATTAAGAGTTAAAGTTATATTTTGATTAATTAATATTAGGAATTTTTTCGGTTCTAAAAGAATACCCTTAGACAAAAAAAAATACTTTTACTTTTGTGAAACATTTTGCCAGTTGTATCACATTATTGTGTTCAAATGACAAGTGTTTCCTTATAGAATTCCATATATATATATATATATATATTAACTGGTTTAATTAATGTTGAAATTACTGTGTTTAACAAATATTACTACTTATCAGAGACCTAAAGTAAGAACAAATGTTTAAACAATGGAGAAACTATAAACTGAAAACACAATCTTTCTTCTACCAAAAGTTACTTTTCAGGATAATGAAAATCATATTATTTGTTAAATTTTTCTTAAAACTTTTGAAGAGATTTAAACATGACATTATACAATACCAATACCATTTGTTTAACTGATACATGACAATGTTAAATAATATTTCAAGCAAACTGAATTAAAAAACAAGGAAAAAATAGTCATTAAAAAATACCTCCTACAATTTTCTTTATTAAAAAACTTCTATATATTAAAAAATAATGATAGAAAAAAATACAAATTAATTTCACCACATTGTCATAACCGTTTATTGTTCATTAACTCCAGATGTTTCTTCTGGAATTATGCCAAGCTCCTGATAAGGAAAACATATCTAATACATAATGCTAAAGTTTAGTTCTGGAGTAGGTCAATGCATGAGGTGTACCCGTATCACTTACTTGTGCTAAAATCTGTTAAAAGTAATTACTAATATGATACAGTTTTTAAATTCAACAAATAAAATATTATCTCTGAATAGAAGAAGAATGTACCACCAAAATAAAATATGACACTGTGCTGCTTTAAATAGAAACTGAACTTTTAACTTACATAATAAACTAAAGAGGCACTCAGTATAGCACATACCTCCTCCATGCAGTGTTATCATATTTGGTTCTCAAAAAATATGAAAATGTGTCTGTACGTCCACTGTTATCACAGAGACCATTTTTGGTAGGACAATGAGGAATAATATTCTACACATGTCCACCATGTTTCATCAAAATACAATAATGTTTGATTGAGTTATTGAGTAAATATAGTGTGAAAAATCAGTCCCTATGTTAACAGATAGGGATTTGTTTTTATTTTCCTGACTTTGCTGTGACCTTGACCTTTTAAAAACTAATCACTTCTTAGTTGGGTCAAAGTCCAAATGTAAACCAACTTTTCTCCAAATTCATTTAGCCATTTTCGAGAAAACTTGCTGACAAACACATACACACACATGGGCAAAAACATAATCTCTCTAACTTTCAGTGGCAGAGGTAATAAGAACATTATGCCAAACATTTCCTCAGCCAGTGAAGGAGTATGAGAAAGAAAGAACATGTTGTGGAATCCTAAAGCTGGGTAACTTACAGAAAAAGTGTTAGAAAAGAAAATTTTTTCACACAAACTAGTGTTATATGGTTTATATAATGGAAGCTGGAGAAGTTTTAATTAGTAACAACTTGTAAAATCATGGCTCAAACGAAAACTGTATGGTAAATGTTGAAGAAAAAAGTTTGCACTCCGAATTAGGCATGGTCCAACTGCTGTAGTGATTCATGATAAAGTAGATGAAAGTTTTGGTCATAGTTCATTGTTAAAGCTCTCTTCTCACCAATTACCAATTTGTATCCTTGCCTCTTAACTAATTTGACAACATACACCTTTAAGTAGTTCTAATTGGACAAACAGCTCCTTTACCTTCACTTATGGTTTACTTACTGCTAGTTAAAAGCATAAGACAGAGACATAAAGTAAATAAAATTAAATTTCAGATAATTTTTAAAAATCTAATTTTTTACCGTGAAACCTCTAGACACATAGTTTTATTATTAGTTACTTAGTCACATTCATGTTTTATTAATAATGTATTAATGGAGAAGACACTGACCTACAAATGATAACACAAGAACATTAGACAAGTCGTCTACATCATTACTTGATGGGTAATACAGCAAGTTTTCCCTCCAAATCACACATAAATGATGTTAAAGTGCTATATTTCAGAAAAAAATATTTCCCCACTCTAACTTTTTAAACTTGACACTTACTTTTCTCTTTCACTCTTCAAACATACACAATAATGATAAGAAATGTTTGGAAAGCAGTACTTATATTCAGTTATTTCTCTACAGGGAATTATTAGAATTTTTTAACGGTGGTATCAGCTATTAACTTGTAAGTTTACTTTCTGCACACATTAATCATGTTTCTTAAAGGATAAATCTAGAATTTCTTTTGTACCAACCATCATAATTAATAACCCTAAGGGACTTGTTAGTTATGAACCAAAAGTAGATTAGCTTTTTGTTATTAAAAACACCTTAAATTCCCTTAACTCTCTCAACACAGGCTTGGTCAATTTGACCAACCACATCGTCTCTTTGTACTTGTTCAAAGTCTTTATGGATTTGATACTACTAACTTTTAATATAGTATGTATATCTTTACAAAATTTGGCAGTCTTTCAGTAAACATTACAAGTCTTCCACATACAAAAAGTCATATTTTTTAGTGAAATATTTCAATAAACTAAAAAGAGATTTGTCCTTGAATATATCGAGAATTTGTTTTGAACATTCCATGTGCAAAGTGATTTTCATGTTAAGATTAAAAATACTTGTCTTCATCTCAAAAACCTCAAATAATATTTGTGTAATCTCTAAAACCTCCTAAACACATTTCAAATGTGTTTTCAGCAAAACTTTATATTCTATCTGTTATTTTCTCAACTCTAACTCTATACGCAGTTGGACAATCTGACTGATCTCGAAACCACCAAAAAATAAATAAATAAATTACCCTTTTTTTTATCTAGAATGATTTCAAATTACAATGTGAAACTACATTCATTTATCCTAAGTAGCTTTAAACTCGTAACAGTATACATCTATTTATAATTAAATTTTATTGTAATACTGCCCTTTGAACTGTGTCTAACTACTATTAGCACCATTACAAGTTGTAAATCACTTGGGGAATGTGCAGTTCACGTTATGCTATCGAATTACCTTACCAAAGAACTACTACAAGCTGCTCGCATGCGTGCCTTGGGAAATATTTTTATTATATTATTATTATTTACTTTACCTAATCTAACCTAAAGAGATCCCTATTTTTACATTTTAGTTACTTTTATAATAATGAATAAAGAATAAACATGAAAAACAAGAAATAAAGTACTTACCCGAGTATTCTTTTTTTTTGCTGTCGACTATCAACGACATTTAACTCTACTTTTTTTATACTAATGGTTGTAGTTCATTGAATAATGCACCAAAGAACATAGAATAATAATATACAAAAAGTAGACAATTTCCTCTAACAATCACAATTTTTTAGGCTTTCTAACCATGCTGTTACAAGTTCATCCAAGCTAGTCATTACCTTCCTGTAGGAACAAAGCCTGTACTACAAGTGAAATTAACCCCAAAAAATTGAAGACTATAAAACTTATGGTTTGTCTGAGCAATGATGATTTTATAGTGAATAATTTATGTTTGATTTTGTAGTTACTGGCGCGGTGGTGGATAACATAGAGAAGATACCTACAAAAATGTGTCACATGTGTCACACTGTGAGAAATTCAGGATTTTTAAAAATATTACCTTATAGAAGTAAGAACTTAAAACTTACATATTGTTAAATTATGGATTATTAGCTAAGATTTTATGCTATACTAATTGTTATAACATAAACTAAGAGTAGTTTAATAAAATTTTGAATGTAAGACACTAAAACTTTGTGTCATGTGCAGTAAAGGATACCCATGGTGATAGGGTTAACACATAAAAGCTGTTACCATGGGATAACACTTTTAATGTTCAGTGACTATAAATAAGACTTTAGGTAGGTTACATGTTATGAAACAGACAGAAAATATATTTATGTAAACTCATACCAGAGAAACATTTCTACATGCTATCACTAACAGTAACAACTTTACTTTCAAAACTTCTTTTCCCCCAAAATAAACACCACCAAAGACAAATACTCAAAAAAATAAAACTTAACAAAAAGAAAAGTGTAGATCCAAATCCAAATATTATGCATTTCTAAACACCACCAAAGACAAATACTCAAAAAAATAAAACTTAACAAAAAGAGAAGTGTAGATCCAAATCCAAATATTATGCATTTCTAAACACCACCAAAGACAAATACTTAAAAAAATAAAACTTAACAAAAAGAGAAGTGTAGATCCAAATCCAAATATTATGCATTTCTACTTAAAAATTATATATGGATATAAGGACAAAGAGTACTTTACAAAAATGTGTTATTCTTAGTCTTTGTTTTCCCTACAACAACAGTTACTCTTGTAATCCCTGCTGGTGATCATGAGGTCAGACAATATCACAACACAGAACTTAAAAAACAATATTTAAGATTTATTCATTCTACTAATATAGAAAGAAGCCTACCTGCATGCTTCTCATGATTCCTGGCTTACAATGAAAAATCAAATAATGCATAAAAACTGAACAAAACAAAGATGACATGAGCAACAAATGCCTGGTTCTGGATAACAGTTGTAGAAATAATCTTAGAGGTAGCAGACGTTGCACAAGTAGATCTTCTGTTCTGAACCAGGAAGTTGTTTCCCATTTCACTTTTACTTCATTCATCAGGGTCAAGGTCAGATAGGATCTGGTGCTGAACTCCAGTTTAACTGTCACAAGCAGATGGTGAGCTTACATAAACATAACCTGGTAAACATACAATTCATATGTCCTTCTACACAGAATTGAATGTTTTTGATATTAAGGATCACTGAAACAATCCATACTATTAAACATACTGATGGCACTAACAAATAAAAAAAAATACTCCAGTCATTATGATGAACAGCAAGAAACAACTCACCTGTTGCTGAATAATCCTTGAAGAAAATAGTACAGTAGACTTGACTGATCCTGCTTATGAGGAACATATAATGTGAAAATCATATCAGATATCAGAGGAAAACAAAATGTAGCTTTAATTAAGAAAGACTTAACTTAACTACAAATCAGTAGTTTTCTCCAACAGATATAGAGCAATAGATCAAGTGACATAATAAACAATCCCTTTCTAAATGTTGTTTTAGTTAATATTTATAAAACCACTCTTGTTTTATGCACGTTTCAAGAAAATATTTTAAACATTAGTGTTTGATCTGAGAGAAATCTGTTCAAAATTTTAAAATTTGTTATACATTTATTTAATAGATATTTATTATAAAATTTTTATTCAAAAACAGTTGTTATATTTCTGGATTACTTACATTTAACCTTGTTACAACATCAGGTATCAAGTGAGGCATAAATTCAAGAAGTAGTCGTGAAGTCTTCTTGTTGTCTATATCTACAAGTTCCTGAAGAAAGTTTTAATTCACAGTATGCATTAGAATAAAAAAAACAGTGGTGGTTAACAGATACAAAAAATAACCTATAAATAATAATGTTAGTCTTAGAATCACATATCAACAAAGAACAAAACTGTATTACTACAAAGTCATGTTGATTCAATAGAATAAATTATATCCAAACTGTATTACTGTATATGGTAATTTATAGAAAGTTATGTTGAAATGATAAAACATTGGATCAAGAGATATCAATTGTATCATTGCACAGAGTTATTTAGGAAGTCAAGATGATACAATAGAACAATGGATCAGCAGTAAGTAAAGATGTATTACTACCAAGAGTAATTTACAGGAAGTCATGATGATACAATAGAACAATGGATCAACAGTAAGTAAAAATGTATTACTACCAAGAGTAATTTACGGGAAGTCATGATGATACAATAGAACAATGGATCAACAGAAAGTAAAGATGTATTACTACACAAAGTAATTTACGGGAAGTCATGGTGATGCAATGGAATAATGGTTCAACAAAGAATAAACTGAATGATTACTAAGAGTATTTTATAGAAGTTAATGGTGAAATTATAATTGTGGATCAAAAGGAAAATAAAGCATAACTATAGAAAGATCGTCATGTTTATATGAGTAACATGGATTGAGAGAGAAAACACTGCATGATTGGATAATTTACAGAAGGTCGTGCTGAACTTAAAATTGTCATTCACAGACTCAGATAAATATCTCTCTTATCAATGGAGATAAATGTGCATGAGTAAAGACAGCCAAAAGTGTATATCTTGATTTGCTTGTTTATTTCAGATATTGTGCAAAGTTACACAACAGCTACCTGTGCTAGCCATCCCTAATATGATAGACTAGAGGTTACAGCTAGCTAACATTATCCACCATCATCTCTTGGGCTACTCTAGTCAAATAATGGGATTTCATTATCACTACTATAATGCATCCATCACAAAGTGTGGAAAATTTGTAGCAATAGGTCATGAATCATGGACCCTCAAAGTCATAGTCTGGTACACTAACTACTAGGTTAAACGTATACCCAAATACTTAGTTCCAACTATAAGTAGTTCACGTAGTTTCATTATGAGATGGGCCATATTGTTTGATGAACTTGGTTCATTGAAGGGACCTGGTTCAATCCCATAATCCAGAAACTCTATCTTTCAAAATCATGTTGACTTTTTTTCCACACAGCAGCAGTCATTTCAAATACATTTGCAGAGGACAAGGAAGCCTTCAATAACCTTCCCTGGCATGCACAATCTTCAAATCCTTGTCCCACTGAACAATTACGGGGGAAATTCTTTAAATTATTCTTCAATGTTGTTTTCTTGCTACAACATTTTCCTGAGGTAAATGGAGCTCATTGTATTTAAGAGATAGAGTAATATTCCAGTTGGAACTTTCACTGCTGTTTGGTTGGATGATTTGTAACAATTATGAATATACCATCTAAAAATTTCACTTTTTCAAATTTATTTCCACATTTTATTCAGCTATAATCACGGTGAAAACATATCATTCATTCTTTAGTTCTCATGAACCCTTTTACTGGGAGCCAATAAATAGTCCAGTTTATAATAAAGTATTTTAAATTTATTTAATTCTTTGGTGTTGTTTTTCTGCCCTTACAATGTCAGAAGCAAGAGAGGGAGTCCTTATTTTATAAATATGTTTTTCCTTTAACAGAAATTACTGATTGTTTCTAAATATACAAGAGATGGGTACAAAAGATTTAAACACTTGTCCAAAAATGTTTAATGTAATTTGGGCCACCAGTAATCTTTGGGTTTGAACTGATTTAGTTTGGTAATGAAAATGTATGGTGTCGGTCTGAAGTATAGTGTCCAAGTGAGAATCAAATATATCCAACATTTCAAGAAATGTAGAACTGTAAACTGACTATTTGGGTATGTAATCTGGCAACTGAGTGTGAAGGAAGTAATAAAATATAAAGTAAGTGTGAAAACTATACTGATCCAACACAAAAAAAAACAATGTAAAGTGATGGGTAGGTCACAAGTATTAGATTTGAGATCACTGCACATCAGATTAGATGTAAATATCTTTTTATATAACCAAAGAAATTACAAAATCAGGTTAAGATAAGAAAGTACATATGTATCTAAGATGTCCTTCAAGAAATACTACAATATCAAACAAATGTTTCTCCATGTAAAGGCTATCTACAAGAAGAGAATAGGAAAAAATGAAAGATTACTGGTCAGAGAAGTTACAATCATTAGTAAGGATGTAATAACACTAACATAAATCCAAATATTGAAGAAAAGAAGCATAATACAAAATAATGACCAAGTCTATTGGAAAAAAAAAACCCAGCTAACAAGCAATCAAAATTCAATGATCTAATTACATCAAAATATAGAATGAAGGGTTACATATTTGAATTCTATTGAAAAATAATCCTTTACCCATAATAAGTACTGTTGATTAATATACAAGAAACTTTAGGAACATAAAGATTATACTGTATAAAGCTATGTTGAAATCAAAAGTTCGGACTAGTATAAAACAGATGGATAACAGACTAATCTTTAGATATTCAAGAAAACCTTAAAGTTGAATTGTGAAAAAATATTTTAAAAAGTCAAAACAAAATCATATTAACAGTCATATTAACCTTATATGTTTATAAATTTAGAAAATAAAACATGACATTATGGTGTCATCTATGGAGAGTTATGTTGAATTTGTTATTATATGAATCTTTAAATATTTGAATTATGAACCAAAATTAAAAACTCTGTATAAACTAACAGAATAATGTAAAAATATCAAGTTTTTCTTAGAAACGAGTGGATTTATAAATATTACAGAGTATAACAAGTTATTTTATTAAATTATACTGGTCTTCAAAATGTGGAATAACAAACAACACATTTCATGGCTACAAAGAATGTATGGTAAATATATGTTGATCTTAAAATAGTAAATTAATGAACAGAAAATTAAATAACCAAAGTTATTTAAAGTGCATTCTCTTAATAAGTGATTTTCAGTTGAGTAAAAAATGTAAGGCAAGGAACCTATTTTCATAACAATAAGCCTAGTAACAGTATCATATGATGCCAAATAATATAAAAATTCAACTGGATATTTAATGTCACATCCTTAAAACCTTTGGGTACATCTAAATGAAATAAACTTAAAACATGTGTTGCTTGCTTTGACTATTTCTTTTACTTATATATATTAAAAATGCAACTAAAAATGTTTTTAGTTAGATGACCTACCTGAACACTCAACAATATCTGGGATTCTAAGGAAGCCTTTTCTTCAGATGAATGGTCTAGGCTGTTTAATACTTGTTTCGCATAATAGAAACTTTGAGGCTGAAATGATTGTACATCCAGATTGTTGACTTAGAAAAGAGCATTATTAATACTTTAAAAAGAATATTACTATCAAAATCACAACAAGTTTTACATAATCAAAAGTTAACTATAAACATATCAACAACATTATAGTATAATAAAAATACTGAGAACACTGTTTTATTCTACTTTTGTGCACATTTTTTCTAGTGTTCAAGTTGATCTGTAGCGAAACAATTGAGGAAATATATAAATATATGTGTAAACAAATGAAAGAAGCAAAGTATAATTTATTTGAATTTTCATTTATATTACAAAAATTTTCACACTTAGAAAAGCACTCTACAGTTTAAATAATTTATTACAAAATGGAAGGTATACATATATATATGTTGCACAGCTGTTCAAGTACTGATATCCAATTGTAAGACTAAACCTTTGTTTGATCAAAATTTCTGATCTTATCTTTATTACAGCTTGACATATGTGAGTCATCTACCAACAAAATCTTAAAGATGGTCCTTTAAGAATTTATTCAATCCACTTTGAAGCTATTATCCCAACTCATTGGCAGTTAATAACTACTGTTGTTTTATCTCCCATTCTTGAGCAATGGTTCTCAAAATGTGGGCCATGGGAGGTATCAGATGCATGTCAGTTTTTGTATCAAAAAAGATTTGATGATTTAATACAAAAAACATAACTCATCGCAAATAACTTTTATCTTGCCAGATGGCATCTCTTAGCAACTGTGTGTGTGTTTTCTTATGGCAAAGCTACATCGGGCTATTTTCCGTGTACCCCCGAGAGGAATCGAACCCCTGGTTTTAGCATTGTAAATCCGAAGACTTACCGCTGTCCCACCAGGGGACTCTCTTAGCAACTGCAACATATCAAACTTTTGCCTCTCCATAGTTTACTATCTGACAAATTGCATGGGAAAATCATGCAGCAAAAAAAAACATATGTATAGCTTATGGAATTTCACTGTGAAGAAATCCGAGAACCATTGGTCTGGAGCAACACACCTAAATATGAAAGGTTAACCATCATCATTTTATATATTTTCTATTAAAAATGCCTACATAAAGACAAATGTATGAATCTGTGTATGAATAACTGAACTATACAAGGCATTTTTTAAAGGAAAGGCAAGTAGCTGCTGAAATAAGTATCAAGGCTCTTTCTATCCTGATTTTAATGATTTTCTGAAGGTAACTTACACATTGCATCAGCACTAAAAGCACAAAAGGCCCTATATGTTTCCTGTCACTTTATTCCTCTTTAGTATGTGACAAAAACGTTTTAATTTTCCTTGTAATTTGCTCCAGTTAGTTTGTTTGATTTTGATCATAATGCTGTGCAAATATCCTCTGACTATGTAATATGTGAAAAGGAAGAAACTATACTGATTAACTTGTAGCTTAATAAAACTCTGACAAATAACATGCTACAATAGAAAACTACTTTGCAATAGCAAAGTAATCCCTTCTGTCACTTGCCTGAGAAAACTTGAGCACCCCCCCATGCTTACAAAAATATTTGATGAAATTAATTCAGGAAAACTATTTCTTGTTGCATTTTTACTTATTTGCCCAAATTTTTGTGCATGTTATCATGTATTAAAATGGGCTATTGAAAAATAAAATAAAAGCCTTTTGTTGAGGTAATTTCCAAAAAACAATAATAACCTGAAACAGAAGAGGTTAAAAGTGTGCACTATACAAAGGCAGTGTTTGGAATTTTTCTTTTTTTTGGTTATGACAAAGAAATGAATGAGATAGATATATGTGCTATATTATCAAGTGTATTACTACCAATAAATATATATAAGTAAGTTATTTTTCGGGTGACACTATGTTTAATTCAAATTGTGTGAATATTTCTATTTTTTTAAAACTTTTAGCAATAATGTAGGTTCAGCCTAAGTTCCATGTACAAACATGTCCCCTAGAATATAAAATAAATTAAGTTTAAGAATAAGTTCAGTATTATTTTGTAAGTATGGTTTGTTCATTTGTTGTTAAGCACAAACTACACAGCTGGCTATCTGTGCTCTTCCAACCATGGGTATCGTATCCTGGTTATAAATATGGTGAGCTCACAATGTGAAAACAGAGTAATGTAGCCTTTGTTTAGTGACAATTTAACTGGTTTTAATGCATTTTAATGTTTGTGATATTTGTCCATGATAATTTCAGAAAGTAATGAAGACAAAAAGAAATTATTAGAATTATTAGAAAATTTGGAAAATATATTACGAGACCAGCCAGATTGTACTCAGACCATAACATAAGGGTGACAAGAGTATTACTTCTTTTAAAATCATCTAACAGGATAAAGTTTCTTCAAATTGAAGTGTGCGGCTAAAAAATTACTTCTAAGCCACACTATATTTATCACAGTGTTAGTCCAAAGCACACAGGCAGAGTAAATGCGACTGACCTCGTAACCACCATGTAACCATGAAACTATAGACACTATAACTCTGAATGCACTAACTGTTTCTTAATTAAATTTGGAATTTTTTAAGTAAACATTACAAGTATATTGCACAGAAAAAATCAGATTTTTTTAATAAAGTATTTTTACTATAAAATGAAGTATTGTGCTTCTTAGCATGAAAATCACCTTTTACTCAGACTAACTCAGTAAATGCTTTGTAAGTTCACAGACAAATCTTTAAATATTTTTGACTTTATTTCATATTTTTCAACTTTTGCTCCAGATAACTTTGGTATAGTTAGTGTTAGGGTAGAGAAAGTTAGAGATTTAATTTACATAACCTTTAGAACCTTCTAAGTGAATATCAAAACATTATTTCTTACTTTTTCTACCCTAACAATAACTGTATTAAAGTTATCTGGAGCAAAAGTTGAAAAATATGAAATAAAATCAAAGATATTTTTACTTTTCTGGAATTACTGTGGATTGTAACAGACAATAACAATTATTTGTCAGGAACAACTTCAGGTTCGTAATGGTTTAACATCTGTTTTCATTTACTTTCCTTGCTTTATTGCTCATAAACCATGTCTAACTAGCATAGAAAAGCAATATATCACTCATCAAGAGCTAAGGGTACAAAAACTATCGAGTTATGTCATCAGTTCCATCATGTGACAGCAGCTTGCATGCATTCCTTATGGATAAACTTTTCTACTTAATTTTCTTTTCAATTATATTTCCATATATAACGTAATAAGTTTTATTACATTCTTATATTTGAGTTACTTTTGTTAAAAAATATATAACAATAAATATACAATATACATAAAAAGTAAGAAAATTGGCCTCTTACACTTGAGCACATGGTTTGGTAAGCTTATGTTTTTCTCATTATATTAGTTATCCAAAAATAATTCATGCAACTTTCAAATATGCAATTTAAAACATAAAAAGTTTGTTAAGCACTAGAATAGAATGTCCTAAGACTACTACAATTTAACTAGCTTTCTAACTAATCTATAAATAGGTTTTAAAATTCCATTACTGCTCGGAGTAATGTCTTTAGTTAAGCACCTCAAGCTTTCATATTTCTTATGTAGTTTATAATTTGCTTTTTCTTTTGGTTATATTCAATAGCAAATGTCAGAGGAATTATAGATATTTCTTAAAGGACAATGGATATAGAAGGACATGTCAATATGGGTTGAACAAAATATAGTGATGTCTCAGTAGAGTAAGCCGAGACTGAAATTTAGTGTTCTGGCTTATCCATATCTATAGTTTGCATTTGTAATTGCTTGAACAATCTGAAGCCCTTATAAGGAAAGATAAAAATTCCATAAATGAGAAGTCAGAGCACCACCATGTCATTTAGAGATGCAGATTGAGAATTTGCTTAAATATTTCTTTTTGAAAATAAGAAATGAAACTTGGATAATATAATAATGTGAATTATAAACTATGTTTTGATACCAAGTTTATTAACCTACAATAATAATCAAGTGGTTTAATAAAATTTTGAACACAACTGTGTTGTTACATGTGCACTTTAACCCTCCCATGTCCATAGGTTTAACACAGAAAAAGCATAATGGTAAACTTATTGCAATTACCAATACGTTTCTCAATGTTGAAGACCTGACAGAATAGGTGGACCATATTTTTGTATATGGAAGAAGTAAAAGATTCTGTCAGATTTTCCAATGGAGTTTAATGTTTAACACTTTGATCTAAAAATGACTCAAAACTTTTCCAGACTAAAGAGTAACATGTTGCAAGTCATCTCTAACTACAATGAAATTTGTATCAATAATAAACGAATGTACAGTTAGACTTGAAAGGAATATACGACATATTTGCACAAGGTGCAAGGTAGACTGTGAAGAAATAAAAGTCAAGCCGGGAAAACATTTTTGGAATTGCAGATACCTCCTAACCAAGAAGTGAAACATTATGTTGAAAACAGTTCAGGTGCAATGAGCTAAAAACCTATCTCTGCCCATTTCATGTTGAATGAGGAAAAAAAAAATACTACTTAAAATTAGGAATGTTATTAGCCTTTCAACATTGTGGATGGAGCTCCATTTTGGCCCTTGAAAAAGACTGGATAAAATCTTGTAATTTTATAACCTCTGCTTAAAAATTTTTGTCCATATCAACTTGAAACGAACATGATAGAGAAAAACATCAATTATTAGTCACCTAAATACCTATACATAATAATGTTGAGCTCGATGGCTCTGTATTGACTGGTGACTAATAAAGGCATACTGTTTTTATTATTAAACACAAAAACATCTTAGTTATATAACCGAATATTATCTGATCTTGATTATTAAACATAAAAACATATTAATTATACAACCAAATATTATCTGATCTTCAATTGTGCTTACATGTACACTGAGTGGTCACAAG